AAATACAGGCCATCCTCAGCAAAAAGTCTTTCTTTCCAGATGCCCATGATCTGCTGCTAACTGTTATTTGCTCTTAGTTTTCATCTTCCAGAACATAGAGATCCACAAGAGTATGTGTGTGTGTGTGTGTTTAAATATATACATTATGTGTGTATACATATGTTCAAATGTTGCATATAAGTGAATAGATGTGTGTACATGCTTATAACTAGTGTATGCCCTCTAAAGTTTCAAGTGGCATTCCACTCCTGCATCCTAAATATTTAATAGTTGAAAAAAAACAATGTACCAAGGCAAATTTCAAAATACCAATATTCTTATGACCATTATTCAATAAAGAAGGATAAAAGAAAAAATCAAATTCTTCAGTTTCCTAGAAATAAACATACACTAGTTACAAACAAGTACATAAACATCTATGCATTTAAATATATACATATAAATATGTAAATATTTGCATATAAGTATACACAATGACATTTATATATAATACACATATACATATAAAATCTTAAACACAATAAACTCTAATTTAATCCTTTTATTTGTACTTTTTTATCTTTTAAAAATATTTTACTGGTGAATTACAATCACTCATAATAGTAGGACTCACTGTGATATATTTCTACATACAGTACAATTTAGTCTATTTCATTCCCTCATGTATTCTCCAATCCTTCCTCTCCTCCTTCCCCCTAATCTTCCTCCTCTACACTACTGATCTCCCTTCTATTCTCATGAGATCCTTTTTCTCCTTTTTTCTCTCTAGCTTGCACATGTAAGAGAACATGGAACCTTTGACCTTCTGAATCTGTCTTATTTCAGATAGCATGATGTTCTCCATCCATTTTCTACAAATGACATAATTTCATTTTTCTTTATGGCTGAGTAAAATTCCATTGTGTATACATGCCACATTTTCTCTAGGTAAAAGTTTGGAAGCAGCAAAAATATGTGCACACATTGTTTTTAGATGAATGGGAGGTTTCAGTACAATTTGTCTTTAGCTTGTGAAGGGAACAACTCATAGATGTATTCTGTGAGTCCAACACTGGCATTACTATAATAACTACACAAATGCTATTCTGTCTCCATGCTGAAATCTAACACTAAAAATTGTTATTTTTTATTTAGAAATAATTGCTAAAATCACTTCTGAAGGCCAACTTGGGTTGTTTTTATTGTAATGAGCAGTCATTGAAGTATGCTAAGCAGATAGAAAAAAA